TGTACCCCGGAGGACTTTTTATCTGCCCCTCTTCTTTTGCGCACTATTTCTCTTTCTCTGACCAAACTCAGAGTTATCTCTGAGTTCCACGATAGACTGAAACTCGCACCAAACTCAGAGTTATCGCAGAGACTAGTTGCGCGTTTGGTGGCGCTGTTTCTTGTGCAGGACGATTTGGACAATGTTGCGCTACTAGGAATAAACTACGTGTTAAGGAGAATCCTGGCATATCATCGCTTTCCGGATTTGATCTGTTCAAACACCTGTTAAGGGGGTCGAAAAGTTGCGCGTTAGCTCAGAGATAACTCAGAGTTAACTCTGAGTTATAACTGTGAGTTTCGATAGGTTTACTACCGACCCTGATTTTTTCCAACAAAGATGAAATCGCGTACTCATAGCAGATGTGCTCAAGTGACATCATACTCCACACTTCAGTCAATAGTATAAATTCATTTCACCTATTAGGGGAGATATTTGATATTTTTTCAGCAGATGCTGCGGCATACAACCGTTATCGATTTTTTGTCACTCAATTGCGCACAGAGATTCCTACATTGCTAGTACTACCATGGATGAAATGGGGCTTGCAAATCACTAATAGGAAGGCAAAGGTTGTCTGAAGCTAACTATAGCAATAAGTAGTAGAAATCTGCTGTTGCGCCAGTAATGCCCTTTGAAGTTGATGGTGGCAATTGCCACCACCAGGTCCCAAGGGTTAATGCGAAGCGGACGGGAACGCAACGATTGAGCAGTAATCATGATTACGCGAGCGATGCCGGGACTATTTAAATACTCGCGCCGCGCTGGGTGCTCTTCACTTTATGCCGCAAACCTTCTGCTGAGATTTTGTTGCACATCGCCTAGCCAGTCCAGCCAAGAAACCGATAGGAAACTCTCCGCTTACCGTATTCGAATGAACCTAGCAATGTGAGGGCAGTGATGAATTAGGTGAACCTTGAGCGAGAATTTTAGTTATATCACTTCCAAACTTCAAATCTCAGCTCGTACGTAATCGTAGCCTGTAATACAGTACCCACACTAATTATTCGACAGAAAACGCAAAAACTGACAATCCGCGTTTTTTTCGTTTTTTCTTCATAACTCTTCAAAATGCATAAAATGCAAATCCGAAAAAGCATGATGCTCAGCTCATCAAGATGAATCTTCTGATATACTGCACTCTCGTACTATTCTGTTTTCACTCTGCTCGATTTTTGTGTGAGGACGGGTATTCGTAGTGGTGTAACTCAGCAAAGAACACACGTGGACGATTCATATAAACATGGTTCAGAAGTGCTGTCCCCGTAGATTATCATGTACTAGTGAGTAGCAAACGATTCCCTTTCCATAAGGAAAGATAGGCCGTTTAATTTTGAAAAAATCGATGTCTCTCAAATTTTCGTTACCGTAACCATACAGTAAGACGCTAATTTGCAAAGCAGGTGTGTTTTTCGTGATCAGCAGATTAGATAACCTCTATGCGCAAGTTTTCCAAGGAATTCGGAACCTTTCATTTTTTCTCGTTCTGGGCTGTGAAGCTCGCCGACGGGTTTTGGCTAAAATATTGATGATCTTGGAATGACCGGAAACTTCGCCCATAGAGGTTTTCGGTCTTGCTGATTACAGAAATAGTGCCCTCTGTGCAGCATAAGTTCTTTTGGCAGAGTTATGCTGAGAGGAATGCTGCGATACTACGCAAGTTCCTAAGTTTGTCTGCCCTTTGCACGTGTCTGTTAAACAACTTACCTGCTCTTTTTGTAATTTGAAAGCATTAGAGGCAGTGCTCTTAGAGCATGCTTAAACTAAGCCCTTACATGTATTGATCGCCGAACTGTGAGCTGACGAACTCACGTCCTCATGAAAATCGTTCGAAATTTTAAGATCGCATATTTTGGCCAAATATCGCCGCGGATGGTTACAGATGACTGCAGATATTATGTTTATATACACATGTTGATTGCTAATTTACGCCGCATACTGCTGCTTACACCTTGTGCCAACTCTTACACCTGTAACTCAAAGTTTGCAAAAAATCGATAAGCCGATATCGACCGATGACGAAATGTAATCTATCAGAACAGTTCGGCTCCTAAGGCTAGGCTCATACTAATTCCCATGTTCCGGGACTGTGCGGGAACAGTCCCGGAACATGGGAATTAGTATGAGCCTAGCCTTAGGAGCCGAACTGTTCTGATAGATTACATTTCGTCATCGGTCGATATCGGCTTATCGATTTTTTGCAAACTTTGAGTTACAGGTGTAAGAGTTGGCACAAGGTGTAAGCAGCAGTATGCGGCGTAAATTAGCAATCAACATGTGTATATAAACATAATATCTGCAGTCATCTGTAACCATCCGCGGCGATATTTGGTCAAAATGTGCGATCTTAAAATTTCGAACGATTTTCATGCGGACGTGAGTTCGTCAGCTCACAGTTCGGCGACCAATATAGGTAAAGGCCTAGTTTGAGCATGCTCTAAGAGCAGTGCCTCTAGTGATTTCAAATTACAAAAAGGAGCAGGTAAGTTGTCCAACAGACACGCGCAAAGGGCAGACAAACTTAGGAACTTGCGTAGTATCGCAACATTCCTCTCAGCATAACTCTGCCAAAAAAACTTATGCTGCACAGAGGGCACTATTTCTGTAATCAGCGCGTCCGAAAACTTCTCTGGGCGAAGTTTCCGTTCAATTCAAGATCATCAATATTTTAGCCAAAACCCGTCGGCGAGCTTCACAGCTTAGAAGAAGAAAAAATGAAAGGTGTGGGTACTGTATGTCCTTTCAACAAGGAAGGGTGTCAGGTGCAGTGTGCCTTATCACTTGCCAGTCATGCAAAAGTACATATATCGGTAAGACGAGACGCCTTCTATGTACCCGCGTTGAGGAATAATCTCAAAAGTCGAATCCAGCTTCGCTGGCATGCGTTGCCATTTTCTCAATACTCAGGCATAGGTGTAGAGAACACGATCTTGGCAGGCGTATTAGGCCCCGGACAGACTTCACGCGATTTGATCGTCGCGACTCAGTCACCGAAATTTCCATTCATTTTCATTTCACATTCAAAAATTTCGGGCTCGAAAAGTATCACAACCGAAATGCAAGTTGATCGGCATGCAATGACATTGTAACAGTTGTCTCGTCGCTATTCAGTCGCGACGATCAAATCGCGTAAAGTCTGTCCGGGGCCTTAGAGATACTGATAATGAGACGTTTTTAGATTGCCGACTTTGGGATGCAGCTCAGCAGTTCCAAATAGCAATTAGACTTATGGTCGAGCTAGTATACGTCCCTTAAATGTTTCATAACGCAAATCTAAAGATGCAATTGAACCAGTAAATATCGAGTGACGAACTTAATCGATTGATTTATTGCGGGTGATTATTTGATAGGATCGATGTGAAAGGGCAGTCACGGCGGAGATGCGTTGTAGGTATCCGCAGTTGGCTAGTAAAATTAACTCACGGCAACATGGGCAACACAGACAACATGGAGTAAGGGGCAGAGTTTGAAACATTGAAAGCAGTTAGGCGGTACTTGGGATAAATGGGTAACATCAACACAACAACATAGGACTATGGGCAGCACCTATGATAGCCAGTCTAATTGACTAATGAGAATGAGAAGCACTAGTGCGACCAAACGCAAATCCTGTCCGGGAGCTTTGGAAAAAAACGTGCTTGATTGAATCGTTTTTTCCTGTTGACTCTAACTCACCGTCTGCCATTGTGAAGAATGATGTGAAGTCCGCTGAAACAAGAAACATATGTAACTCCTCCACGTTGCTTTTTATGAAGGTGCACAAATCACACCTAGGATGGCAACACGTGCCTCTCCTCGCTTAATCGAATCGCTTTCTTCAAAGAGTAGATTTGAGTAAGAACAGCAAGATTATTGCCGTGAATCAACCAGCTCTTCTGCCATTCTCGGATGCACTCGGCTGTCCTCTCTTAAGGCTGCGTTTAAGTGCTGAACTCTAAAAAGGACTTTGCAGCGAAACGCGGAACAATCCTCGAAGAGACAGCATTCCAAATCAAGCAGACTTTCAGAGTTGTTATCACAGCATTCTAATCCTTTTCGATGGCATGTAATATACTAGCTGGCAAATCCGGCTCCGCCCCACACTTGTCAATAATGAATTCGTAATAACAGTCTGCTTCAATCGGGATCAGGCCAAACCGTCCGCGTAAATTTGCGCGCTCGCAGCGCTAGCGGCCTGCGCTGCATATGCGCGCTGTAGGAGAGAGCGAAAGGATTGAAGAGAGAGCAGAGAAGCAGGTAGTGGGCGTGATCGCGATACCCTAGCGACGCGGAGTCCCGCCATGCCAATTTTGGCCTGGTTAGGATTGGGGCAGACTGTAGCATGCTCAGTTACCCCTTTGTGCCAACTCCCACCCCGCAGCTCAAATTTTGGAAGAAATCGATAGAGTCGATATCGATTGATTACAAAAAGTAGTCTACGATACCAGCTCCGCCTCGAAGTGTATGTGTGCGAAGTTTGTGGATAGATTCAGAAATAAAACTTTCTATTCGGAACAAATGTACAGACATACAGACAGATAGACATACCAACAGCTTTATATATGATGTTGATGGTTTCTTATCACCTGTGTTTCTCACTAAATCAACGTGAGCTGAACACAAACAGAAATTCGTGAACAGCAGGAAAACTCCAGGCGCAAGCACCTTTAAAAAAAATAACTTCCAAATGGAATGGTTAAGGCGCACTTTTTTTCATACAACCCAATGTCTTAGTATATTTGACGGAATTGGAGAATGAAAAGTGAAATATAGTGCGGTTCAGCTAATGGGGTAGGTTTCTTGTTCATGATCCTTGGCAGAAGGAGAGGACCTCCGCTTAAAGAAAGTGTTTAGAAAAGGCTATTTAGTATAGGGAAGAAGTAACCGTGGGATGCTAGGCGTTCTTAGTCAAAAAAGCGACTTTGCCAATAAAAAAAAGTAAAGTCTTTGTTGCATGAACAGCAAGTAGGCAGATTCTTAGGTCTTTATTGAGTAAGTGACTTCGTTAGTATTCTAATATCCGAGTTGTTTTTTCATATAAGCAGTGGCCAGTCGAAATGGTCGGTCTTCAAAGTCTTTGAACTGAGCGGCGGTGAGAAGTATCTGATCGCCTTTCATACGGTTCAAAAGCGTAACACAGAGAACGGCAGCTGAAATGCTTCCATGTTGTAAGCTCATGGTTTAAGGGTAGTATGTTATTGCTTACCTTTACAACCAGCACGATATGTCATTGAAGCAAAACATGTGCTTTCCATTTCAATGTTCCGCACTCCTCTTTCATTTAGCTTTTTCAAAAATGCCATTTTTTTGTCGCTGTTGTACTCACAAAGAAAACCATCCAGGCGCATCTGCCCTGGAAACACTCTTATAATGTTTACTATCTGTTTGATGGAAAGAAGTCATAGGAACCTTCATAAAATTCGTCGGCACACATGGTGTAGCCAACTTCGACTGGAATATCTTTTTCCTTCGCAGTTGCAGTTAGGTCTTTTTGGAGATCTTCGTCAAGATATGTATCACGTTCTACCTAAAATTTTCTGATATAGCGAAACAATTCCCTCTAGTTGCATAGTACATTGTGATGCTTAACAGGCTTACTTTTCTTCCCGCTATCCACTGCACATATTTTTCATCTAGGGCGGCATTAAGGGCGTTTTTGGTAATGAGGACCGTACCAGGTTCCACTCCAACACCTCCCGAAGTTCCCAAGCGCATGAATCTGTAGTGTATTTATGAATTCTCGCTTCTTTTTTTTCTTCTCCAAAAACATACTTAACATCTTGTGCTTTTGCATAGTACATGAGCTTTAAAATTTCATTGAGCATTATACTTAGTGAGGGATTTCCCATGCCATGCTGAAAAGACCCTTTCAAGGTGGGCAAAACTTTGCATGCTTATACTTACATTCACCCACACTACTTTTCCGCTCTTGTAAAGGACAAAACGGTCACTTTTTGAGAGATTTTCACTGCATGCAACATTGCATTCTTTTGCGAAATCTTCCGCATATTGTTTCATTCTTGTGTGGGATCCGCCAGTACACACAAACTATAAGAGACTGTAGCAATACGAAAATTATCAACCAAGCTCTCCCCTTAGAGCACCGTCCACCCAAAATGGAGGTTGGCGTATGATGGCATACTAGTGTGGGGCCTCACACTAGATAAACCCAAGCTCCAGCGCAAATGACTGCTAATGGAGCGAGAAATCCGCTCCGGAAGTAGCAAAGTAGGAGAGGCGACCGTGGTCGCCACGCACACTTGCATGCTTTATCTCGCCTGCGCTTGTTGCAGAGGGTTCTCGAAACAGGGATTTTTGGGGGTTTCGCGGATTTTCGACTCCAAATTCGGAATCAGGGCTCTTCAGAAGGCCTGAAGGCAACAAAAACATTGAATTCGAGATCTTGGGTGGACGATGCCTTCAAGAAAAAAGGAAGCTTTGGCTATAAAATGAAAATAAATCAGAAACGGCATGTATTAAACTTGCCTTTGTGTCTCCAAATACTTTTTCGACATCTATGGATTTATTACCGAATCCAAAATGATAGAGAAAATCTTCTTGGGAAGTGTCAATATTAGGATTCTTCAAGCCAAATGGAGGATATTTACCTTAATTATCGAGGACTGATGAGTAAAATTGGAATAAAAAAGTAGGCTTGATTGACATGTCTGATCTTTGCTTCAAAAGGAAAATCCTTTTCGCTAGTAAAGAAAAGAAGCCTTGCCACTTAAAGGCAGTGGATCGGCAAAATGGACTCTGTCGGATTTCCTTGATGTTAGGTAGTAGACCTCACAAGTACACTGTAGCCCCAACTCCATCTGTAAAATCATGCGCTAAGTCCTGAAACATGCGCTGCAAAACTCCACCGACTCCACCCACATCCATTGAGTGGGGAGGTCAGTGTGATTTTGAAGCGCATTTTTCAGGACTATGGCAGATGGGGTGGGCTACAGTGTACTTGGAGAGTCTACTCCTTGACACCAATGAAATCCGAGAGGGGTCCATTTTGTCGAACCACTGCCGTTAAGGCATAAGAAGGCGTTGGCAAGAAGGCTGTGCCAGCGCCTTTTGGACTATGCAGAAACGGTATGTCTGTCACGATGCTCGCCATGTCACATGCTCTGCACCTATGTCGCAATGCGAGTGCTCTTTGCAGTACGAAGGTCAGGAGCAGTTGTCGTGCTATTCGGCGACAACTGACGTTTTCAGTACGCCATCGCCGTAAACGTCGTCGAACCTCTGCTTGCTAGGCGCGTTGCCGCCAAATGGCTACACATAGCGAACTCCTCATGGCGTCACTTAGCTTTAGTTCTTGATTGATATTTTTGCCTTATTTCGATGTGCGCTGGTGCTCTGCTGATAATACCTTCCGCCTTGTTTCTTCTGCGGCTGAGCCGTCAAGCTAACTAAGGGGACGACCATAGATGGCCGGTGGCAACTGTGTCAGAGATTGCCGAGATTGCCGTCAGAGGACCTCATAATAGTCTCTACGTTATGATGTATTGAATTATGGATTGAATCCAGGCCGGAGTCTCTTTTGAGATATCTGGAGTTGCGGGTACAAAAACGAATAATCAAACTTAAGAACAGAATGTATTACTTGCTAATCAAAACGGGAAGCTAACAACGTGCTCGTGAAATGGATGCACCAGCTAAGAAATCAGCTGGATACGACATAGACGGTTGTTGCCAAGGCCACACCGTCTAGAGAATTGTGAGTAGCGCAAGCGATGAAACAGCAACGACTTGGACGTGTCCCATGACGTGCTGGGACCTGCACGTACCGCGGTTTGTTTCTCGGATGTAATCTTAACTGCCTTCCTTGAACCTGGATGAGCAGAGAAGTTTTAAGGCAGCTTCCCACTATTTTCAGCAGGGCATTGGCTCTTCGCATAGGCAGAGCATTTGACATAACTCACCAGATACCATGTCAAGAGATGAGTAAATGAAAAAAGTCTTACTCTGGGAAGATAAACTGATTGTTCCACTGTGTTTACGTCTCCTGTATCAGATTGAGCGTTCTTTCACAACGTATTTTTTGATTTCACACGATCATCCTGGATATGCGAGTTTGGAGTTAGATAAGAGGCATAAAAAATTCCTCAATTAAAATGTTTCAGAATGCTCAAATTGGCGGTGAAGTCAATTAGAACTTTTTCACTATTAGCCATATACGAATACTTTCTCCAGTAAGTCACGTTAGAAGCGACACGAAATTCATATAGAAAATTTTCTTGGAAAAAATCTTCTAATTTGAAGAATTTGTGTAGACGTTGTCACAATGAAACGATTTCTTGTAGCATCATATGTCGCGGCGATTATCTTCATGTCGTGTTGCAGCACCGGCCTTTAACGAAAAGCGTGTCACATCGGATTTGTCCTAGTTGAAGCTGGAAGCATACGTAGTCGGCAGCTTTACCTCCATGATACCTCCATAAACTGTTATAATTCCCTGCCAAGCGACGCTTCGCATAATGTAACACAAAATTATAATAAGTGTTCAAAGCCCTTCAACACAGAACTCCATATGGAGAGGCCAACCAAATTGGTATTGTTTTCTTGTGAGTCTTCTTCCACAAAAACCTTTACTTTGCAAACGACTTCTAGTAGTTGCTGTAGAAGTACACAATATATGAATGTTCATTACGTGCAGATGCACATCAAATGCTCTGGTATAAAATGTAGTGCCTTCTTTATACGCAGCATTGCCTTGCCCATATACGTTCATCAGCTCGGAAAAATTGCAATAAAATAGAAAATTGAAATTTATTTATTTATTTATTTGATACATCACGTAAGGATCATAATAACAAGGTTGAAAAGTTCCGGATATAGTAAATCAATTTAGGAAGTAGTGTGGTAGTATCCAAAGTTTATGCATCTTTTAAAAAGATTCTCTAGAACATTATTAAAAGCTTCGATCGTAAGCACGAAGAATAGGTAGTAGGATGTGTGCCTAAAATAACGGAGCATGATGGGATATTCTAGTGCGGGTAACAGGCTTTCGAGTGGCCCGCTTTGGTAGTACCTAGGCGATATGGCAAGTCCACTCGTACTTAGGCGACCAACACTACCGACCGCCTCCAATTCCTCCGTGTTTGAGCATATGAATGTAACACATGCAAGATAAAAGCTTTCAATAGTCTAAAGATGCGAGATACTTGATGAAAAAGTAGAAGGAGTAGGTATGAGATTTGGTAGTTCACGTAAATATTCAGATAATGATTTTGATCCGGCAGGAGATTTGCGACGATGCGAAATAGAAAGCTCAAGATAAATAATAACGAAGTTTCATATTACTTTATAATCTAAGTTATTTCTTAGTTAAGAAATTAGCATGGGATAAATAGAGATAGAATATTTTAAGCAGCAAAATTCAGAACAGTTATTTGAGAGAATTTATAGAAATGTATTAAAAATAGATGCCAGACAATCTTGCTGTACAAAGCAATGAGCCATATAATCGTTCGATTTCTAGGTTTGAGTGGAAGCCATAAATTCTGAAAGTAAAGAGAAAGAATACAAGATAAACGAATAGCATATAAACTCCCTGGCAAGTAGAGTAGAACGGTATATATCT